TATATTTCTGGTTAAAAAAAAAACTATACTTTTAACAAAATAAACTGACATATAACCATCCTAAGTATTTAACAGATCAAGACATTTGGATCTCTATTACATCTATTAAGTGCTAGAAAGCAGGCAAAATGAAAGATACTTGTTTGTATAAACTATATTATGATCACGTTTCACTTCAGACAATAGAAACATGAGATCACATTATTATCAGGTGAGGAAGAGAAATGGAGATGAAAATGGAGATTTTATAGATACTTCACGCTGTCAGATACAGTTTCTTTCCAGTAAAGTCTTTCGTGTATGTTTTCATTGTCTCCTTTTTTAATGCATGAAGAGATGCTTTGCCTTTTGTTATTGCATTGTTTATAAAATACTGCATTTTTAATAACATTGCCTTTCATGTTCAAAATGAATGAACTATATAATAAATGTTTAATTATACAGAAAACCAAACAGTGATGTCTTTGTTGGGGATATTCAGATTTCCCATCCAGGCAGCAGGTTAATCGAGATGCTTTTAGAAACACCTCCTTGTTTGTGGTTCTTTTAGATGTTTCCTTGTTAAAGCATTTCCTTTATTGAAGTTCTATGTTTCCTTCAATGAAAATTGCTTCGTTCTTTGTATTTCTGTTTAGAACCTCCCCTTCGGTTTACAGGTAAAGTCACTCCTACAAGATCAATGAACACAAGTGGCATTTGCTGCATAATACAGCTAATAAGTGTCTACTTCTGACTCGCGAAGACATGTCAAGCATTCAGAAAGAAAATACGAAATGCAGAAACAATAGTCTGTTCTGTCTCAGCTGTGAAATTCAAAAATAATGCATAATAGGGATATACAGTACTTTTAAGCTAGGCAGTTTGTGCTCATGTCATTTACTGAGGCATTTTCAGATTAATTACACTTTGTGGTTAGTACAATGTCACGCAAATGAGAGAAAATGATGACAAATTATCTGACTAATTTCATTGGAGTCTATTGTTAACCATTGGAATGACAGGTAACGGTAGTTAATTTTCATAGGTTGCCCCAGTTTTCATGGGAATTATGAAGGAACTTAGAGGAACAGCTCATCCAAAAACGAAAATTTACTCACCCACAGGTCATCCAAAGAAATTAGAATATCATGAAAAAGGTCAATATTTTATGTCACTCATTTCAGAAAGTGAAACCCATTTATTATATAGATTCATTACACATAGTGAAATATTTCAAGCCTTTATTTCTTGAAATTTTGATGATTATGGCTTACAGATAATGAAAACCCAAAATTCAGTGTCTCAGAAAATTAGAATATTACATAAGGTCAATAAAAAAAGGATATTTTAAACAGAAATGTCAGGCTTCTGGAAAGTATGTTCATTTCTATGCATTCAATACTTGGTTGGGCCTCCTTTTGCATGAATTACTGCATCAATGCGGCGTGGCATGGAGGTGATCAGTTTGTGGCACTGCTCAGGTGTAATGGAAGCCCAGGTTGCTTTGATAGCGGCCTTCAGGTCATCTGCATTGTTGGGTCTGGTGTCTCTCATCTTCCTCTTGACAATACTCTATAGA